TTCTGGCACAGTTTTGAAGGGCACATCCGCGCATATTGATTACAGACGTTGCTGCTTCGCTGGAGCCGAAGTGAGGGTTCTGGCACAGCACTGATCAAGTAATAAGATAAACACACGCACACACACACATATATGGTGAGGGTTCTGGACACAGAGGGAAGTAAGGGGGCAACAACCGTCCGAAAAAAGCCCCCCAGCATCTTCTCCGAAGCTTTAGTCTGAGGAGAAGATGCTGGGGGGCTTTTTTCGGACGGTTGTTGCCCCCTTGCTTCCCTCTGTGCCAGAACCCTCACCATATATGTGTGTACTAGTAATATTTCTATATGCCCCTTTTTTTACCAATTTTACGTACATATCTCATTCTCTTAATAGCTCTTTTAAAGGCACATTGCAGACTCGGTACAAAACGAACGCTGAGAAAAAAAAAACTGTGTTTCTTTAACTAATCACGCCATTTTATAAGTTAAATATGGCTCAGTTGAACTTATATCCGCACTCTTCAGTCCAAAGTTGTCTAGAAATAAATATCTATGCGAGATTTTGGTGAATGGCGTTCGTTGGGCAGATGTCACAACGTATAGAGTAAAATGGTATGGCTATTATTAAGTTTGACACCTTAAGTAGTAGGTAGGGAATTGAATGAATACCAGAAAATTTTTGTGTCCCCTTGAGACCGTCTCGCTGGCTCAGAAGCTTCACCAGCGAGACGGGGTCAATGGGGACACAAAAATTTGCCAGTATTTGTTTGGCTCGCTACTTGAGGCACAAACTTCTCATTTAAACATTTGCGGAGTACATGTAAAAGGCGTCTTGAAGAAAAGACTGTTACAAAAGCTTGGCTGAATCAATAAGTCGCGAAGAACTGACATGCTGTGAAGAGGATGGAAAAAAAAAATACCCTTTTATTGATGGCAAAACATTTAAAAAGTCACCAAGCATTTGGTCTTTTCGTGATTATCTTTGTGAAGCTTGTGGCAAAACGTTTACGCAATGTCACACTCTTCACACTCATAATAAATACCATTGTAAAGTATTAGAAACACAAAGAATTCCAAAAGAAGAATGCCCAAAATGTGGTAAAATGGTAAGCAAAACGACGATTTATAGTCATGCAAAAAACGGATGCCCAAAATCGAGAGGGCGGCTGGCTTAAGCCATTTAAATATTTGTGAGCTACCAGTATAAACATGGGACGCTGACGTAAAGCAGCTCTTGAACAAAGCCATAAGAAAGAGAAAAAGTAGTGGGGGCCGCTGCCTTCAAACGATGACTCTGGGTTTACCACGTAAACCGACTTGTGCCGATATACTATTAAGTGTGTTTCCAAACGGCAAGACTAAATTTTACATTTGAATAAGAAAGGAAACCTTTCGGAACGGAATATATACGAAAAGGGGTGCGAAAAATTTTATAAAAATAGAATACAAAAAGAAGTGTGAAAAAAGCTAAAAAAAAAAAAATAAATAAAAATGTAAATAAGGTCGATCTGATTAATTGCAGTAAAATGGAGTATTACCTAGGCAACGGTTTTGAGTTATT